GCGCGCACCTCGCTCGGCTAGTGTGGTGTATCGAGTCTGTTTGGGGGGTTGGACCCCGCGGGGGGAGCGCTGCCGCGCTTCCCAAGCGGCGCACTATAGCAGTGCGCCACCGGGCCGGCCCCAAGGGAAGGTATTTTCAAGTGAAAAGAATAAAGTGATCAGAAAGTGATAGGTCTCTTTTTCCTTACAGACCGTGAGAAATTTTTGAATTGATTTAGTCCCATATAAAATTAACCTCAAAAGAAAAATATATGTATGGTCTAACAAAAATAAGTGCAGTAACAAGAAGAATGTTATTCAGACAGCCCTAAGTTTGGATTTGGGATCTACTATTTTCAAGCTATAGGACTTTTAGCCATTTTCTTGAAAGCCTCAGTTTTCTCATCTGTAAAATGTTGAGGATTGCATTATAATACATGTAAATAGACTGATATATACTGAATTTTCCAAAAGAGCTATCATCAAAAGAGGTCAACTAAGATGTACCTTTGTGTATAATGTCCATATTTCTCAAAGTACATTTTTGACCCACAGGTATGATTTCAAATATTCTCTATTTATTACATAACTGAAGAAACAGCATTAAATTCATCTATATAGCATTGATACTTTTCAAAGTGCTTTCACATTTCCTTATTTGAACATCATTTCTCAGGTAGGTGCAACGTGCAGTGTTGTCCCAGATTTTTAGATAAAGAATCAGACTCAAATGCAATACCTTGCTCAAGATCTTGAAGCTAGTTGGAGTCGGGAATCCAGATTAAACCCTAAACTTCTATCTTCTTATACAGGTCTCTTTCTGCTATACCTGTTGGCAAATAAAACACCATCACACTGATTCCCACCTGGCTTTTGCATACCCTCAGAGAAACATCTAGGCTTTTGAAAGAGTCAAGTAATTTTTGTATAATCTACACACATGATTAGTTTTCGTTAAAAGACAAAAACAAAAACATGTGCTACAGTATGGTAAGGAGAAGCCATTCTAAGATTTATTATTTCCAGCCTATCAGATTATAGATTAAACCTGTAATGATGATGGGAAATCAAATGAGCTAACTAAATGCAAGTGATACTCTATCTTATTCAGTGAAGGAGTTATAAAAACAGTCTTCAAATATGTGAAAGCAGGAAGAAAGAATTTAAAGTAAAGATTGAGGAATATTGTTTACTCTCAAGAAAGGATTTTCTGATTATAGTTTGTGAAGTAGATCGAAGATTGTAGAATTTCTGAGTTTATATTGTTCTGAAAATGTTGTATATGGTTCTCTGTGATGTTTTTAGTCATATTTGGAAATAGCTCTTCTTTTCTAACCATATTATACGAGATGTTTATGTCCCCTTATGATAAACTAATGATAGTAGTTAAAGGAAAGGCTATTAGAATACTTTCCTTGTATGCCCTAAAAGTAATTAGACAAACACCTACATAGAAACTAACTTCGTAGTTGTGATCAAGTAAGGTATGATGTTTTATTCTTACATCTTATCTATATTACAATACTCTTTTAGTAGCCAGATGATGCTTCCACATTCTGATATACAGTTGAGTAAAACTAGACATTCTGGACTCAGTGATTTGTGGTTTAAAGATGGTTTAGGCTGGTTAAAACAAATTCTTAGATGTTGGATGTCTGCATATGTACATGCATTCAGTTATAGCAAAACAGCTGGAATTTTACAAGAGTCTTTCAAGTTACCAGTTAAACTGGTTATAGACCTGTCCAACTACAGTATGAAAATGAGAACGTCAAAAAGGCAACCAAGTATTTGTTTCTTTCAGAGATATTGAATTGTACTAATGCCCTAAGACCCCATTTTTCAAAGCTTTACTGTAGTGGTTCCTAACCTTTTTGTGGGTCACAAAACCCTTTGAGAATATAATGGATGCTGTGGATCCAGATCTTCTCTTCAGAAACATACACATAAATACAAAACTACACCTGAAATTTCAGAGGGCATATGAACCCAGTTTAAAGCCATTCTGCTTTAAAGCATGCTAAGTAGCAATGTGTTCTATTAAAAGCATTTAACATAACTGCAGAAATGCAAAATGTTTACCTCCATTAAACAGATTTTTAAATTCCAAATGAAATAAATTTGGGCCCAGACTAAAATGTTTCCTCTTATTTTAGTGCTCAAAAATAGTTTGTACATTGAAGTATTTATGTTTTACTGACCTTTTTTCTACCTATTAATTTTTAAAAATTCTTAGTAATTTCATTTTTGGATGTTATATGTATTTTTAACTTTTATCTCTACAGATATTTTCTGGCAAGTTTCTATACGAAGTATGATCCAACTCACTTCATCCTAAACACAGCTTCTCTCCTGAGTGTGCTAATTCCTAAAATGCCACAACTGCATGGTGTTCGGATCTTTGGAATTAATAAGTATTGAATGTTTTGAAAGTGAACAAAAATTTTTACAGCTACTAAGTTTCCTATAAGGAAGAAAGGAGTGGTTAGTAAACTGCACTGTTTCTGTAATAATGTGAAAAGAGAGGTATTTACATTGGAGGGCCAATTGCTGGTTCTTCATATGTGCTTTTGAAGTGCAGATTTCTACTAAAAGATGCTTCTGTTTAATGCATCTGGTATATTTCTGAAGAGAGGCTTTATAGGCAGTCTGGGAAGGCCCAGCTTATAAGTTAAATGGCAACACAGGGTGTAGTAGATAAATTCAAGGAAATAACAGATGTGTAAGAAACTTGGACCAGCCTTACTTATAATGAATGGGCATTATGTTAGGAAAAGAAAATTTCCAATCATTCAGTCATGGGCAGTTTAAGCACACTTAAAGGTAAACCAGAATTTCTCTTTATAAGTTTATTATAGATTGTTTTTATTACCATACATATTCCTCTTGTTTTAAATAAGAGAATATACGCCCTTTTGTTTTTTACAAGCCAATTCCTACTTATGAGTGTTCTTTTTTGGTTTTGCTGGCTCAATATTGTGTGTTGATAGATGATGTTATTTTTACATTTATTACATTACAGAGGTCATGAAGGTACATGACTCATTGGTGATAGAAGATAGTCAGGTATCTTACAAGCAGCCTCTAAGTCACCATTTTAATTTTGGAACAAAGTGGGTTAAAACTGCTTTCCCAGACACAAGGCTGCTAAACCAATTAAGAAAATAATTTATTTCAAGCAGCTAAAGTATATGGTAATTTAAAGGTGTCTGCTTATTTGGTTGAGCAGTTTAATCAGTAAAATGTCATTCTTTGGAAAAGGAAATATAAAATGGACAACTTTATAGCCAACCTGTGGTCTGGCAGAAACTGCTTCTCTAGCAATAGTACCATAGTAAGTAACCGAGTTTTTTTAGCAGGTCTGCAGTAAAAGACAACATAGTCTTTTCTTAGTCCTGCTTTCAACCCCCATATTTTTCCCACTTATATTTTGCCCCCCATTTATTGGGGGGGGGTGGCGGTTGGCGGTACAGGGATCTGAACCTTTGACCTTGGGTGTTATAACACTGCGCTCTAACCAACTGAGCTAACCAGCCAGCCCTGTTTGCCTTTAGATACGTGAGTCTTAGTGTAGATAAACCAAAATGGTAACTATTTTCAGAGAGCAATCATATTGAATTCTTGTGACTTAGGGAAGCTTCCTATAGTTGCTAACATTATTTGCAAGAAATAACTATATACTACTTTGAGAAGTAAACATCTCAAAAAAACACACAAAGTTCTAATATGGGATGAAACTGAAAAATTCAGGAACATTTATAAACAAAATTGAGTAAAAAGACTTATAGACCAACATAAAAATCAGTTTGTGTCAATAAGCTGACTTCTGGAGGTAATGATCATTGTTTTGTATTTCAAAAGTATTGAGTTTAGAAATCAGTTGTATGATACTGCCTTTGTATGTCTGTCTTTTCCCATGTCTTTTTAAATAATCAGTAATCCATACCTGAATAAAATTCTTTCCTTGGTGTAGGATTATTTCAAAAGCTCTACAAATTGAGTCATCAAAATTACACTGGTGTTTTTCAAGTTTATTTTTAAGTAACTAAATTTGTGAAGTTAAGATATCTAAAAATATTCCTTTGTTTTTCTTCATTTTAAAGTTTAATTATCTCAAAGGCTTACATTCTTTGCACATACTTCAGAGATAAAAGTATGTCTCTGATACAGGCCTTCTTCCCCTAGCTCCCTGCTTTCCCCTTTCAATGTTTTAAAATATTTACTCAATAGATATTTGAGGGCCCACTCTGTTGCAGGTATTATTTTAGGTATTGGCGGATAGTTTGTATACAAGATAAACCAACTCCCTTCCCTTACGTGCTTACATTCTAGTTGGAGGACAGATAATAAACAAATAAATGAATTAAAAGCAAATATGAGTATATGCTATTTCATGTAGTGATAAATGCTATGGAAAAAAAAAAAAGCAAGCAGGTGACAGGTAGAGGAGCCTGCATCAGAAAGTTCCTCCCTAAAGATCCATTCTGAGGTGACATATGAACACAGACCTTGCTGTTGGTGTGAAGGAACAAAGAGTACAAAGATCAAAGGAAAGAGCATTCCAAGTAGGGGTAATGACAAGTTAAGTCACTGGGGCAGGAATGAGTCATGTCTGAGGAAGAACAAGACAGTCACTGGTGCTGGACGGGAGTAAGCAAGGAAGAAGAGAATGGTAGCAAATGAGGTCCAAGAAGTAGGTAGGGGCTAGATCATACAGGGCTTTATAGATCAAGATAATGAGCATATTCTGAGCGTGACAAAGGCTTTGAAAGTTTTATTCAGGAGATTAAAGGGCTCTAATTTTTTTAAGGGTCACTGACTAATGTTGAGAATAAACTGTAAGGGAATAGAAAGGAGGAAGCATAGTTGGGAAGCTACTACAGGCAAGAAGTAGCTCAGACTAGGGAAGTAGTGGATGAAGTGGTGAGGAGTGGTCAGAATTTCAGATATACTTTGCAAGTACAGTTTACAAGACATTGATGTATGTGGGATGGGAGGATGGAATTAAAATGGCTCTTAATTTTTTGGCCTTACTACCTAGGTGAATGGTTGTGCTAAACATGGAAACTCGCTGATTTCACAAATTTGTAGTTCAATGTAAAAAAGAAAAGACTTTTTTAAAAAAAAACATAATATATAATGGAATTATTTGGAACAAAATCAGTTGCCAAGCTATAATTGCTCCTAGCTTCAAGTCAGGAGACATAACAGCAATTTCTCAGTAGTCATGAGCTCAGAAATGCTCTAATTTTAGCATTCATCCGTGGATCTTTCCTGCAGCGATTAGTACTGTGGAGTTCTCATGATGATTTTCCATTTCCCTCATTCTTTCTACATTTATATATTGGTATTCTGTAAGGAAAATTTGTCCTTTCTCCCCCATATATTTATTTATTCTATCATTTATATTGTGGACTCATAGGTATTTTATTCTTTGGGTTATAATTCATTATTATCATTATTTAATTTGTTACTCAAATTGTCCTCCATCTTTGACCACTGGGAGCTTTTCCATGTAGGCTCCTGGGTCCTTTTGACTTGCCCTCCCCCCTTTTTTTAGGTTTATGATATTATTGTCTTAAACCATAAAGATCTTAAGGGGCATAATATCTCCCTAACTAATATCTGTGTGAATTAGCTTTATAAAGCAATATGATGCTAGGAGTTGGAAAAGCCCTTAGAGACCATGTAATTCAGCCCCCTACTTTAGCTTAAATCTTCATTAACCACCACCCCTCCATTCAGTTCTCTTTTAACCCTAACAGAGGAGGATTTACCACTTGTAAGACAGCATATTCCACTTTGTAAAGAATTTATAACTTGATTTACATTCAGCCAAAATCTAATCCTTATTCTACATAACCCTTCAACTATTTAAAGATAACTTTTAAATTGTATTAATAGCATTCAGTAAACATTACTAGACCTCACCATTTTCCATATGTTACTGTTTTAAATTTCTTCCACTCTCCTGGTAATTCTACTCTAGGTTCCAGTTTATTATAACATGAGAGCAAACACAAGAGGTGATAAGATGTGATTAACCAGAGCAGTATCACTTCCCTACTTTGTTCTAGATGCTTTTTAAAATTTTTAATACAGTCTGATGTCACTTTAGCTATTTTGAAAGCCACATATCACTAATTCATTTTATGGTCATTAAAACCTCAAGTCTTCAACAGGTAGTACTGTTAAATGATGGCTTCCTCATTGTATACTTATTAAATGGATTTATTAAACCAAAAATCTAAGATTTATTTTTCTTGTAGAACCATATCTTGTTAGATTTTAGCCTGTTGATTCATCATGTCTAGCTAAAGTTGAATGCTGATTATCATGCAATACATTTCTCCTATATTGTCTCCTATTTTACTATATGTCACGAGTAAATATGGCCACAAAATGCCCTCAGGCTAGTTATGAAGAAGACAAATACAGCGATCCAGTATAGACCAATGCAATTTAATAGACTGTCTAACAGGATAAATAGAAAAGAATAATTTCCAAAACAATATGGATAATACACATTGACGTGGGAAATATGAACAGGTTCAGTACTGAGAAGACAGTTCTAGGTAAAATACGTACCAGTGCTGGGCATGGAAGGGTAAGATATGTAGGAGAATAGCAGAGAGAAACTCTTCTTCATTTTGCCTGGTGTCAAAAAGAATAATAATGAGATATCGCAGGTTTTTATTGTATTCCCTAATTTTAGTTCCAGTTAAAAGTGATTCAGCAGGTAGTTTGTTATATGGGGTTTAAAATTTTTAATTCAGCTACACATGAATGAATCTAAATCTAAAATATTGCCTAATTAGAAAAATAGTTGAATAAAAATATATTTGGATTTTATGCTTAGCACAGTATGTAATTTATTCTATTTCTTGACTCATTATTCAAGCCCTTGATGAACAATGATTATGGAAGCAACTCACCTATGACTCTAAAGTTCTATATAATTTTAAGTTTAGCAGATAAGCCAAGTTTATCACTGTGTCCTTTCACTCTGATTGCATATACTGTTGAAAAAAATAATCTCAAATACAAGAACTATAGTAAAGAAGTAAACCACATCATTAACACTATCAAATAAACTCTACTTTTAAAATACAAAATATGAAAGGAATTTTATAGCATATAAATTTTCTAGTGACTTTTCAATTATGCAATTACAAATTTTTATTGACAATCCTATTTTGAAACACTTCCAGATTTTTCAGATATTCTATATTTACGTTGACCATATTATCAAGATAAACATGCATTATTCATTTTATAATTTTAAAAATGGGAACAGAGAAGCCAGATGATTTATTGGCTACTGCCCAGGAAAATACAATGATCCTTTGAAACATTTTCCCCTCCTATGAATTCTCATCAAACTCTGCTTCTGTCATGGTATTAAACAGTCATAGGGAGTATATGGGAACAAAAAAGACATTTGCCCTTCCTGCTAAACCACACACAGGAGGATACTTCAAAAAACCTATGGAGAAATAGAATTAAAATGATAGTATTAACCTTTCCACGGGCTTTTTGAAGTATGCTCATATGTTTTACCACAATAAAAAAAAGACCATCTGAAAGTTAATTTGTAAAATAAGCATAATGGCTCAGCCAAAAAAAAAAAAAAACCAAAATATTTTCCAAAGATGAGACTTCATGGACAGTATTATCACTAATCAAAGAATGGTCCACATCAAAAGAGATACTGGTCAGCAAAGAAAAAGGAGAAAGACAAAAAATGGCAGTGCATTTTTAGCATAATCCAACCCAGGAAGAATATAAGCCAGGTATGTGACTCAAGTACTAAGGGATGCATCAGGCTTGAAACAGCCATGAAAAGCACCAAACCTATTTCTATTGCTTCCATTCCATATTTACCAAGCAATCTTCTGAATATAAATTGGATTTGGCCCTCATTGTTAATTTGGTCAACACAAAGATGATGACCAGCAAACTCAAGTATCCTAGCCCCCACATCGCTACATTTCTCATAAATTAATATATTAGTATTAATGGTTTCTACACAGCAGTTTCTTAGCAGTTTGTGGTGTGTGACTCAGTACCCCAGAGTAAAGTCACTTCTAGACCTGATAAACCTATTTCAAACCCATAAAAGAATCAGGTGTTGAAACTAATTAATCACACCATGGGCCTGCCGTGGATACCTCTGTGGCAAGGCACAGCCTTCCCCAAACAACTCACCTCTCTCAATGCACACTTTCCATTCACAGTTCCATAATTATGTATTGCCTATTGTCTTCTCCCACTAGACTCTGAGATCCTTCAGGACAGGGATTGGATCTTATCTCTTTAACCCTAACAACTAATAAAGTTCCTGGCACAAAGGAAAACCCAATAAATATGATACATGACAATAAAATGCAATTTTGTAGAACATAATTAGAGAATGAGTATTGTAAAACAAGATTTTTCTATATATAATTTTCCTCTAAAAATTTCAAATGGAAAACTAGACAGGCAAATAGCCTAGACAAAATGAGTATATTTATATTCATTTGGAACTCTCAAGTTGAAGTCACAATGGTTAAGCCATATTTGTTGAAAATGCTCCTAAGTGGCATTCTAATCATATGATAGGATCTACACGAAAGTCCAGACAGGTCCAAGAGAGCATAATACCTTTTCCCCAATAACCCTTTTCTGTGGTACAATAAGGAACACAGAAGATGTATACCTTCACTTGATAAATATGTGGGACTAGTGTAAGTGCCATTTCACATACACTCAATGAAGGGAAGAATAAAATTCCTTCTTAATGTGCCCTAGAGTTCTCCTGTTTAACATAACACAGAATTCAGAATCAGCACTGGCCAAAAGTGCCTAGATGAGGAATCCCCCAATGATACTAGCACACACAACAGGGATAACTCGTGACAGCACAGGAGAGTGTTAGGATAAACCTGCTGAACATAATTTGAATTGCAAGAAAAATAACCTTTTACCAGATGTGAAAGGTTTTATGTTCAGACTGGATTCCAGTGTATAATAGAAATAACCTCAGACCTATCATAGGTAATCAAACAGGATGACTAATGTTTCTTAATCTTTAGGTTTTAATGTTTCTTTTTCCCTTTTTCGATCAGCAGTGCACCCATGGAAAAATATGATTTATTTTATCTTCTGGCAGCTAAGAAAACAGACTCCAGAGCCAGATGGCCTGACTTCTAATTGCAGATCGGCACTTACTAGCTGTGTGACCTGAAAATTACCCAAACTTTGTGGCCCAGCTGCCTGTAAAATGAGGATAGTAACTACCTCATGTGGTTGTTGTGAGGATTAAATAAATTAATCTACAACAGTGCCTGGCACATAGTAAGTGCCACTTATTGTTAATTATTGTTACACATAAATGAATTCTTTTGAAAAATATAAGTGTATCAGTCCATTTCTGTTGCTTATAACAAAATACTTGGAACTGGGTGCTAAGAAAACGCACTTTATTGCCTACAGTTTTGGAGGCTGGGAAATCCCAAGTCCAGGGAACACATCCAGTGAGAGGGTCTTGGTGGTCACTTTAGTGACAGTAGGGTATCACATTGTGAAATGGCAGAGCAGATTGAGGGAGAGACTAACCTCATTCACTGTCTTTTTCAAGCCCTCAGAAACACACCCATGACCACCCTTCTTAATCCATTCATTAGGGCATAATCTAGAATCTAATCATATTTAATCCTTTCAATTACCATAACAGGATTTCCCACCGTCAACAGTTATAGTGGGGATTAAGTTTTACGGGGACATTCAACCCAAGGCAATACGTTACAATTAAAAAAACTTCTAAAAAATATTCTGGTAATTATGAATTTACTTATTTGTATCTACCTCTCGACTGTACTCCGGCTTCTCAAGTGATTTACTAATCCTTTATACCCAGAGCTTCACCGCCCAAGGCAGATACATATGTCAACTCTCTCCAAACTTGGCATTATAAGGTCCTTGCTTACTAAAACCTTCAAGCCTAGCAGGGGATTAGAAAGACTTGGGTTAAATCTGTTAAAACAAATGGTAACAAGTTCACAAACCAATAAATGCAAAAAAAAAACTTACGTAGGTGCAAGAATATGAGTACATACTATGCTGAAGGTTGCATACATAGTAAGCAAGGACCATATAATGCATTACAAAAATCAGATATTATTGTTTTAAAGTAAGCGAATATTTACCACAGCTCCTATATATTTTGATTACCAAAATAAGCCAGGCCGTTTACTGATAATGAAGTGGGAGTAACGATTTACTGTCCAACCGGAAACACTTCCCTTCTCTGGGATCTCCCCCTCCTTCCCCCCGCCCCATGCAGGTACTTGGGGTGTCCCTAGTTTTCACCCTATTTTTCTGATGTAAGTATTAGGTATGTCAGGCCTCTAGATGTAGTGATAGTCCCGCTAAAATGGAATGAGGAACAATCTACTCCATCCTTTTCTGAGTGACAAGCAAGATACAGCCGAAGGCAAGCCTTTTCTATTTTTTATTTTTTGGCGGTTAGCTGGTATGGGAATCCGAACCCTTGATCTTGGTGTTAGGCAAAAAACATTTTTTTAAATCTAGCGTAGTGTTTGGAACTTAATGCTGTGTACCCAGACAAACCTGTATTCGGCCTCCGCTGGATCAGTCACAAACTATGTGACCTTGTGGAAGTCTTATGACCTACAAACCTGGGAGAAACGCGTGAGCGCACGCACAGCGCCTTGTGCAGACACGGCCTTTAAGCTTTTCTTTTTTTACAGAGAATGTCGCCCTCTAGGGCAATAGCAGTCAGCCCTGGCGAACGGACTCCGTCACGGTGTAGATGACGTCACTTCCGGCGCGCCAGGTTCGGGCTTGTTTGTGCCAAAGAAAGAGCAGTCGACGTTCTTTGCTAGGGAAAGGCGACGAGTGGTCGCTACTGTCGTTCATGAGGAAGGTGGGTGAAATTGCTTACCCCCCACTCACTGATGCTTTCGCGCACCTGGAAAAGCGTTTCCAGTCGGAGCATCTCACCTCTTAGAGCACACAGAGACTAACGCTGCTAGGTCACATGTGTTCACTCATGAGCCTTCTTGACCCGAAAGGGAAGTGCTTCGCACGATCCACCTTCCCCAGATTTAGTTACTGCAAATCTAATTCCTCTGGGGTGTTTATGTCTGGGCTGCAATCCCCGCAGCTGCCCTCTGCGAATAGGTCTCTTATCTCTAATCCCTCCATGCCCTGTGTCCCAGTTCCGGTATTATTCGTTCTTGGGAATAATTTTATCCATTAGTGTGGTAGGGAAAGGACCTACTTAAATATCCAGAAAGTTTCAGAAGAGATGATTTGGGGCATGAAACTAGGTACTTAGCAGTGTGAAATATCAGGTTGCTTTAGTCATGGAATAATGTTTTGGGAAAAAAGGATTTGGGAAGATCCTTGTTATAAACCTGTGGCAAAAAGTGGAGAGTGAATTCCAAAGATTGTAATTAAGGATAAAATTGGTGTTGGGTTGCAGACGTTTTAGTCGATGTGTGTTTCTGTTAAGATGAGCTTTATGAGAACAATATTGTTTCTAAACTAGAAGATTAAATCTTGGTGTGTGTGTGTTTTATGTGAACTCTCACTTTTGAACCAAATTATTAATTTTATTCTGAAACATGTTTCCGGGAAATACATATATTTTTGTCTCTTCCATTTGCCTTTGATTTCTTTAAAAAACGACATTTTTGTCTTAATCTTAGCTGTAAAAAATAAATAGCTATTCATAGAGGACTATCCATGCAACTATGTACTGAAATATTAGCTGTTTTATAAAGAATAATAAATAGTTTGGTAAGAACAGCATGTAAATAATAGTAATACTAAAAAAATTTGAATCTGAGCTCTGTTTTCCCCTTGAAGAGCCTTATATTCGTTCATACTGTTATCTGTATTCACAGGTTGCTACAACCTTGAATTTGGTAACTTTTACACACTTTCCTATAATGCTAGCAAACTATGTATTGAAATATAAACCAAGCTTTCAGAATTTTGCTTACCTGGCTAATGTCAGCTCCAAATAATGTTTGCATCTGTAATTGTTTTTCAGGAATTATTTATAGAGGAACTATGCTAATATTGAATAAGACAGCAGGAGTTTTTTCTAAACTGTCAAAAAGGAAAGTTTATGAATTTTTAAGAAGTTTTAATTTTCATTCTGGAACACAGTTTCTTCATAAACTAGTATTGGGAATTGAAACCAGTTGTGATGATACAGCAGCTGCTGTGGTGGATGAAACTGGAAATGTGTTGGGAGAAGCAATACATTCCCAAACTGAAGTTCATTTAAAGTGAGTAGACATTACCTTAGTCATTTCCACTTTTTTGAAAAAGAAAGATGAAATCTTTTTTTGTATTTATCATATACAAAAGTTATATTTTGGGAACTAATTTCTTATGTCTTTGTACAAAACTTTCTAATAACTGGCTGTAGAAAATACCTCATCCTGACTTTTACGGCTCTTGACAATAAGGTCCCAACCTTAGCTAATCCTGTTGCCAAAAAGAAACTAAGCTCATTTTCATCTCCGATATTTATCAATGATTTTTCCTCAGTAATGATTTTTCTCCTTTTCTCTACTTGTGTGTTTCATGAAACTGAAGTCCTAGGAAAGCATGACCCAACTTTTGCAGAGGATCACCAGGCAGGTTACATAAATAAGTGGGCTAGATATAAAGTGGAAAATGCCTGGAGGAGGTCACTATTTAGCACTGATTGTTGCCATGCAGGAATGTAGGACCTGTGTTATTAGATTGTCAGAATTTTTAGAAGAGCTTAGAGTCTATTGGGGGAAAGATTATATATAAGCAAACAAATGTATAAATTGTGAAAGAGGTTATGAAGAAAATATGCAGGGTATAGTGATATAGAACAAACAGGTGCCCAGCACAATGCCTGACACATCACAGGTGCTTATTGGCCTTGAAAGATGGTTAGGCCTTCAACAAATAGAGAAGGAAAGAATGTTGTAGCCTGAGTGAGCATTGTCAGCAAAGGCAAAGGGGTGAGAAGGTACTGGACAATTGTTCAGTTTAGCTAGGGCACAGGTCACTTGAGGGGAATACTGGCCAAATATGTATTAGTGGTACTATCCACACAGCTCAGCTTTCATTTATTGAATACCTGCAGTTGCCAAGCAATATTTCGGGCACTGTGGTACAAATATGAATAAGGTAAATGATCCTTGCCTCTGAGCAGCTCACCATATAAAGTGGGTTAGAGTGGAGGTTTATATTCTGGTTCAGCCACTTACTAGCTTTGAGAGTATGCACAATTTTCTGTTTCAGTTTCCTTATCTGTCAAATGGGGATAATAATGGCAACTAGATCATAATATTGTGAAGGTTAAATGTGAATTCTTTTAAAGCATCTGGCACCGTTTTTAATAAATACCAAGGGCTCAATACAAGCTAGCTATTAGTAACAACAGTATTTCTATTACTACTATAAATAAGCAAAGGCGGCAAATAGTAAACAGATCATTGTAAAACATCGTGGAAAGTTCAATAATAAAGGATACATGGGAATAGAGTCCCCTTTTCCAAGCCAGAAACCTGAAGAACATCTTTAACTTCTCTCTCACTATTATATCCAAATCAGTCATCCAGTCATGGTAAATCTATCTGCCAAATATTTCTTGAAACTTTCCTCTCCTTTCTCACTGATTGAATGCAATCCCTTATTGTCTCTTGCCTGGACTCTTGGCTATATCCTCCCTCGTCTCCCTGCTGCTTTATTAGCTTTTTTCCTTATTAATCCATGCTCCATACTATGTACAAATTATAGTAAGACAAGAATATATTCTCATTATTAATTCTTTGATAATAAGGCCATGGTCTTACTCATCTCTTTGTCCCTAGTGCTTAGCATAATCCTTGGAAGATAGAATATACAGAAGAGGCACAGAAAGGAAGGAGGGATGCAAGACAGAGAAGGAAAGAATGAGTGGGAGGGGGAGGATTTGGATTTAAAGTCTCCAAAATTTCAAGAAAGTAAAGGTTTTGAGTAGGAGAGTAACAGGGTCAGCACTGTGATTTCAATTATTCTCCAGCAACACAATATTAGGATGGATTCCAAGGATAAGAGGATGTAACTAGGGAAGTGCAATTAAAAGACTGTTGAATAGACTGAGATAATGAGGGCTTTCTGAACTTGGTGGTGGCAGTGGGAGTGGTGATAAACTTAAATGTGGAGAGTGAGGGAAAGAAAGGTAACAGTGAACCTTGAACCCAAGTAATACAGAGTTATTGATGCCACTGACAGAGATGAGGAATAGAAGAGGAAAAGTAACTTTGAAGAATTAAGGAAAATTGAATTAGAATATGGATGTGTTGAAATAAGATTGTTTCTTTTATGTCCCCCTCATTGCCTGAAACAACACATACTTTAACTATTGAATAAATAATTAAAATATGAATTCATTAAATGCTTCTATTGAGGATTTTCATTCTATGTGTAGAGCTAACAGGACTTGCAACATTAAATATTTGAAAATGGATTTTTTGAGACTAGAGGTACATTTTGTGACCTTATAATTTTATTGCTCTGCTTCTCAACTTGTAAATCAGTCACACCCTAGGAAATCTGCCTCCTAATTCTTTATGCTTGACATTTGGAATGACCATCCATTGTCTGTCCTACATGGACCAAAAATCCAAATCACCAGCTCTAAGCACTGGATTTCCAAACTTTATTTCAGGATTACAAGCTATCTACTGTCTTACTGTGACCTCAAGTGCATTGTGTTTAAAAATAAACTCATCTTCACAAAACCGTCTTCATGTTTCTCTCTTAAAATATCTTTTAAAATCTCCCTGTCTGCAGGGAGATTAATTTTCCTAAAATACAATTTTATCCTGTCCTTCCCTTGTTCAAGACTTATTTAGAATGCTTTGAACGATTATTTTGGTGATTTCATTAACAAACAAATCCATAGGAGTTTGTTGTGCACAGGTTTGAAAAGTCAGAAATATTATCCCCTTAATCACTGTATATTGAGTTCTTGTGCTACATTATAAGGCATACAATTTGAAAATACTTGACTTACTAATATTTTCAGCTATATAATGATAAATTTGAAAACATGCCTTCAGCTATAGCATATATTATCATTTTTCATCCTTTGTTTTTTACAATCTTAACATTGTAAAAAGCTGTCTTATTTCTTTTCAGAACAGGTGGGATTATTCCTCCAGTAGCTCAACAGCTTCACAGAGAAAATATACAACGAATAGTGCAAGAAGCACTTTCTGTCAATAGAATCTCTCCAAGTGAACTCTCAGCAATTGCAACTACCGTAAAACCAGGACTTGCTTTAAGCTTGGGAGTAGGCCTATCATTTAGCTTACAGCTGGTAGACCAGTTAAAAAAGCCATTTATTCCCATTCATCATATGGAAGCTCATGCACTTACTATTAGGTTGACCAATAAAGTAGAATTTCCTTTTTTAGTTCTTTTGATTTCTGGAGGTCACTGCCTATTGGCATTAGCTCGAGGAGTTTCAGATTTTCTGCTTCTTGGAAAGTCTTTGGACAAAGCACCAGGTGACATGCTTGACAAGGTAATTATCTAAGAATTAATTTCTGCATTCTTTTTTTTTATGATGTCTGTTTCAATTAAATAGCAATAATTGTGCTTACTACCATTCATCGAAATATCTCTGAATGATATCTTATTAGACTGAAAAAATTTATGGTAAGAAAAAAAGAAGAGTAATAGTACGTAATTTTGTAATTCTTCTCTTTCCTAATAAAATGGTAAGAGGTTTACATCAATACCTAAAGGTTCAAATAGTTTGCAGTTATTTAGTCAAATAATGTATGTGAAAGAAAGTGCTTGGTAAACCGAAACATATTGCAAAAATGTAAAATAAGGGGATATATAAATATATGGACATTAAAAATGCACAAAGTTCTATAATTATACAGTTGCTGAGACCACTTACAAGTAGGTTTCTTTTGCCTTTGTTTCAGAATACCACAGAGCCTACTGCCATATACAAAAAAAACACTGCTTGCCTACAGCTAAAATGACAGGAAGAAGGAACAGGGCAGGTTCTTATCTTTGAAGCTCATTGTTAAGCAGTCATTGTCAACTTTAAAACTATTTTACAATCTCAGTAGAAGAGCAAACACAGACTGGAGGCAGCAGTTGGCTACTATTGATCAGGTTGTCATAAGGAGCTGGGTTGTTTTCTTAACTGAACACAGTCATAGTCCATATTTGTCAAAATATAGCATGTTTTATTCATCCAGTGTTTTTTTTTTTTTTTCAAAATGTGCAAATTTATGACTTATTAAAAAATATGTTTTTGTTTTTGATAGGTGGCAAGAAGACTTTCTTTAGTAAAACATCCAGAGTACTCCACCATGAGTGGTGGGAAGGCTATAGAACATTTGGCCAAAAAAGGAAATAGATTTCATTTTGATATCAAAGTTCCCATGGAACATGCTAAAAATTGTGATTTTTCATTTTCTGGACTTCAACACATTATTGATAGAATAATAATGCAAAAAGAAAAAGAGGAAGGTATATTTCTAGTTAGTAAATGCTATGTTTGAATATTTGTCCCCTCCAAAGTTCATGTTGAAACTTAATCCCCATTGTAAAAGTATTAAAAGGGTGAGAAAACCAACTATGGTATTTGAAAGGTGGAGCCTTTAACAGGTGACTGGGCTGAGCTATCATGAGTGGATTAGTCCATCCATGCGTTAATGGATTTATGGGTTACCATGGGAGTGGGACTGGTGGCTTTATATGAAGAGGAGGACAGACCTGAGCTAGCACACCTAGCCCCTTCACCTTGTGCTGCCTCAGAACTCTGCAGACAGTCACCACCTGTAAGAAGGCCCTCACCAGATACAGCCCCTTGACCTTGGACTTCCCAGCCTCCAGAACTGTAAGAAATACATTTCTTTATAAATTACCCAGTTTCAAGTATTCTGTTATAAGCCATAGAAAACAGAGCAAGACACTAAAGTTGGACAGATATTCTTGGAATGTGCCTAAAAATACCTACTCATTTCTGCAGGTATTGAGAAGGGACAAATCCTGTCTTCAGCTGCAGACATTGCTGCTGCAGTACAGCACACAACAGCATGTCACATTGCAGAAAGAACACATCGTGCTATTCTGTTTTGCAGGCAGAGAGACTTGTTATCTCAAAGTAATGCAGTACTGGTAAGTTTTGTCATCTCATTTTATAGTAATAACAACACTTTACAATATGTTACCTTTTTTTCAAGACCTTAATTGACCTTGTGTTAAGATGAACAGGTTTATGCCATATGCCAGCCCTGACAGTGTGAAATTATGGGGAATAGGAAAGACTAATAGCCATTTCTTGTACAGGTAGGGCAGCTTTATAGGACATCTGTACAGCTGGTGTGGCAAAAAAGTCTAAGACTGTACCTTTTTATTGAATTTAAAAGAGGGCTTACAGTAAAGAAACCAAATTCAGTAACTGCTGTCACTATTTTTAGAAAAACATGTTGGTTTCCTTCATCCTTTGATGAAATCCCTTTAAATGTACTTAAAAGCCTTGATAAACTTCCTGTTTAGCTATCTTAAACCTTATTCTTTTGAAAATTATAAACTAAAGTGTTTTTAGAAAAATATGTTGGTTTCCTTCATCCTTTGATGAAATCCCTTTAAATGTACTTAAAAGCTTGATAAACTTCCTGTTTAGCTATCTTAAACCTTATTCTTTTGAAAATTATAAACTAAAGTGGTAAAATGTTTAAATTGTGGTAGTCACAAAATGGAATATTATATGAATATCAAAGGTAACAGTTTTTTTAAGAGTTATGTAGTGAAATGAAAAAAATACTTATAAGTAAAAAATGCAGGGTCTAAAATATTGGTATACTATGATTGCGGTTACATTAAAGAAACACTTAAAAAACAGGATGGAAGAAAATATGCTCATATTAAAATTATTGGTGTTTTTTTTCTTCTCCAAATTTTATTATACAGATATATCAGTTACCTGTTACCCACCAATCAAAATGTGATTTTTTTTAATTGCATAATGCTGATATTTTGCCCAGGTTTAGCTAACAGCTTGGTTCATAGCTATATGTGGTAGTTGTTAAATTTGGTCTCCTCAATTCCCTCAGGTTGTATCTGGAGGTGTTGCAAGTAATTTCTATATCCGAAGAGCTCTGGAAATTGTAACAAATGCAACACAATGCACTTTGTTGTGTCCTCCTCCCAGACTGTGCACTGATAATGGTATTATGATCGCATGGTAAGCCACAGGACATATGTGCTTCGCTAATAGTCATGTAAATATTAGTTGCCATTTCATCATACTAAGTCTTTTTAATTTAAATCTTTGGGCTATTGATTTTATTTTAATGATTCTTATTTAGGAATGGTATTGAAAGATTACGTGCTGGGTTGGGCGTTTTACACAACACAGAAGGCATCCGCTATGAACCAAAGTAAGTGGTACCTTTCATAATCATTATGCAAGTTACATTATAAAAATCAAAGCTTGGATTTTGCTTTTATGTATGATGTTTTCAATGACATTCTGGTACTTTAAGAAAAGTTACATTAATTTCTTTCATGAACCTAGTCGAGGTTGACAACTTATGAGAAATATTTTTGCTTCAGTATTAAATTTTTAAATTTTGACAAATCATAGTTGAGTTAGAAACAGGCCATGGGTAGGGGTGATGAGTTCCCTCATTTCAGGCTAGAATGGAAACTATGTCCATGGCCTGGACTTTTGCAATGTCAAAAAGAGCTCAGGACCAACTGGTATGCTGGGAAATTTAAAGAAAATGTTCAGAAAGCATTCAGGTGTAAAGTTATGCTCCTACCCAGGCAGCTGAGAATTGGCCATAAGACAGCTGTTTCTTACAAGTCTTATTTCCTCTCCCAAGTCAAAGTTTCAAGGAATAGCACAGTTTTTCAGTTTACTGTCAGGTTCTGGTGCAAGTTAATTTTGGCATAGTAAAAGAAAATTATGTTTCATAATCTAACATAATTCTATTTTCAACATTGTTTCATCTGATGTTTCAAAACTTATCAGCAACATAGTCTATAACTAGAGGACTGTGCTACTTGAACTACAGACTCTTAAGGCTAACCGTGAATGAACAGAGCTGAGGTAGTAGTATCAGAAGGAATCCCTTATGTTGATAGCCTAGCCTTAGATAGAAGACACTGTTTGATCCAGTTGCGCCTTCTCGTGGCAGTGTGTGGGTGGAGATGATGGCTTTTTCCAGTTTGGGATGCAGTCAAAGCTTTCATCATGGGTAATTCATAGAAAAGCAAAATCAGAGGCTAACATTATCTACAGAGGAGGCACAGAAAAAGGATAGGAGCTAAGACCTCTCCAGCTAGCAGTGGCAAAGGAAGGTAGAAAAGGGGCAAGCCAGCTTTTGAAACCTCAGAGAAGAATCTATAGAAACCTAGGGAATTTCTGAAACATAAACGGACAGAGGTTTGACTTTAGCTGCATGATAAAATGTTCTTACCTTTTTAGCTTTGTAGGGAATTATAAGGCATTGTTTGTTATTTTTATATTTTAAGTTTTTAACTTACTTATTTACAGTATTTGAGAGCAATAGAAGTATTTCTTTGAAAAACTTCTCAAAATTTACATTTCTCATTAATGAGACTGGACTTCATCATCCTGGCTTGAGGTTCCACTATATTTGCATGTATTTAAGAACAGTTGCCATATGTAATGAATTATACTTTAGATACATATATTATTTGTCAGAATTGTAGGCAAATAGTATGCAGAACTAGTAATAGATCATGAAGCAAATATTTGAAATAATATGATTTATCTGACTGTGATGCAGATGTCCTCTTGGAGTAGATATATCAAAAGAAGTTGGAGAAGCTGCCATAAGAGTACCATGGTTAAAAATGAAGGTTTGATTTTTGCTTTTCAAAAAAATCCCTCAAGGTAGTATTTCAACATTAAAATTAAGTTTTGACTTTTTGTGTATCAAATTGTAGAAGATATATATGATATTAATTATTCACCGTGACTTTTTTTTGTTATTCTTTTTCTTATGCTTGATGTTTAACCTGCTCTTCTGAGTGACTATAAAATGTTGTAGTCTCTCAGGGAGCATAGTTTGTTTTTTTTTTTTTTCATTATCAGAAACCAAAGTAAAACATTTTATGAGGAAAGAATGTACTGATGTTGGCAGGTAGAAAGAAAAACCTCGGAAGAAATATAGTGATTCTGCTAAATCCTGGCTTCATATCATACAAGCCCAGATCTTTCCTCCTTTTCTCACATTGGAATAGTAGAAGCTATTTTTTGATGCCTATTTATACATGATCCCAACTTCTGGAATGAGAGAGCAATTTTAGAAAGGTAGCCAGGTCAAAGTCATGTCAAATCAAAGAATTCCAAATCAAAACAAAAGCCGACTTTCTCTAACAGAATATATGCTATTAATTATAAAGATATATGTTAGTAGGTATCCTCTGTGGAGTAAATGGGATATCTATATGTTTTGTCTATCTAATTTGAGATTTAAAAATTTTGATAACAGGTCAAGGGTTCGGATTCCTCACTGGCTAGTTGCCAAAAAAAATATCTTGACATGCAAGTAATCCCTCAAGTATACATTGTATTCTTTAGTTGGCCACATACATTCACATTAATTATTTTAGAAATTGTATTTTATCAGATGAAAATAAATGAGATAAAAAGGGTTTTTTAAGGTTTGTTTTTGGATAATTTTTTAAAATTAATTTAATCTACTATAACAAAGTCAAAGAAAATGAGTGATAGTTACATATTTAATAAGTTACATAATATATATAAAGATTATTATACCCTAAAAGAATTATGTAAAGTTAATATTTGGTGTTAGCAACATTGCACTCTAACCAATTGAGGTAACAGGCCAGCCCTGTGTGCTTTAAATAGAATGATGCTACTGACTGTTTAATGTCCTTTGAGAGACTACCAGTAAAGGTTTATATTACATCTATATTGAACAAAGTTGTTAACTTTTTTTTTTCTGTCCTTTTTGAGACCGGCCGCACCGCGCTCAGCCAGTGAGCACACTGGCCATCCCCATACAGGATCCAAATCCGTGGCGGGAGCGCCGCTGCGCTCCCAGCGCCGTACTCTCCCGAGTGAACCACGGGGTCAGCCCCCAAATCCATATTTTAAAAACCAATTATTATGGACAATTTTAAACACATACAAAAGTAGATAGACTAGCGCAAAGAACACGTCATCCAGATTCAACAATTACCAGCTCAAGGTCAACCTTGTTTCTTTACACCCTCACCCACTTCCTGCCCTCCAGTATCAGTTTAAAGCAAATCCTGACATCTCATTTGAGGGGTAAATTTTTTTTTTTTGTCTTTTGTCTTTTTCCATGTCCGGCAACGGATCGCAACCCTCAGTGTTGCCCCCGTACCGGACCAGGGACTGGCAAAGGGATCACAACCCTTGGTGTCGCTTCCCGCGCCTCGCTCAGCCAGCGAGCGGGAACCGGTCCGTATGTGGGATCCGAACCCTCGGGCGGGAGCGCCGCCATGCTTCCCAAGCGGCGCACTATCCAGTGCGCCACCGGGCCGGCCCTGAGGGGTAAATATTTTAATATGCAACTCTAAAAGACAAGAACTCTTTTGAAAATAAAACATATTCATAGTTCCATTTTTTGCATCTAAACATTAATAACAACTTCATACTGTCAAGCCAAATCAGTTTTTGAGGAAATTTTTCATTTTGCACCATTCGGAAGACAGCGTGGTTCACTATCCCATCCACAGAAGGAGGGAGTGAGTTAAACCAAGGACAGAGACAGCAAAAGGAAACGTGATCGTTCCTGTCATAGTGAGGACTCTGTGACTGCAGGTCAGTGCTGCATGCAACAGTAATGAAAGGCTCTTTATTCCCTAATACCGTACTGTCTCACGGAACACAGCCGGGCCTTGGGAGGGGACTGAAATAGGAAATGGACCGCAGTCACGCCAGGGGCGCCCTCTCCACTGTGTGACTCTGCTTCTCCCTCTCATCTGGATTTCTTTGCTACTCGTTCCTTGTGAGTACAGAAAAGCAATGCTAACGCCCCTAATCTTTTTCTACTTCTCTGTGTAAGAAACCAGCAGACACCGAGATGGGAATATCTTATTTATAACTGAGAGTTTCCAGGAAAAGGGGCTCTGATTGGGTTAGTTTGGGTTGTATCCATTCCTATGGCCCGGTGGTGCACTGGAGAGTGTGCCACTTGGGGGTGCGGCGGCGCTCCCGCTGAGGGTTCGGATCCCATGTGGAGACCGGTTCCCACTCACTGGCTGAGCGTGGTGTGGCCGCAACACCGAGGGTTGCGATCCCGTTGCCGGTCAGTAAAAAAGACAAAAAGGAAAAAAAAAATTGAGTTCATGATATGAATAAGGGAAATTACAGATAAAGAAAATAAGCAAATTCTAGAAGACTTCCATATCTTTATGCCTTTCAGTACTTAGCCATAAGGAAGGGAAGAGAAAGGAAGGTAAGGAAGAAATAGAAGAAAAGGAAAAGTAAGGGAAGAAACATTGACCATACTGAACATATTGATGGACATTGAATATACTGGCAAACATATGTTAAAGTTATAGTACACCTAAGAGGCAGGCACATTGTTAAAACCCTCTAAATCTTGAAGCCTTTCTCATACATAATTTTTAAAAAGAAATATATGGGGTAATAAAAATAACTGGGGGGGTGGGGGTGGAGTTGTACATTAGGAGAAACACTAAATTTTAGCAGTGGTAGGATGGTCTGGCTAGACCAAGATACTGAGGAAGTGTCTGTTATCTAATGCAAAGAAACCCTGATCCTCAACCTGAAAATAGCCTTACAATAGGCTTGAGCCTACCTTTAACAAGTTTTAAAGCTCAAAGGTTGCTCTCTAAAGGCTTTTTTTTACATCTACAGAGGCTTAATATTTCCATTAATATTCTTATCCTTAAAAGTGCTGAATAAATGACACAATTTTTTATCATTTAAATTATTTATCCCTTTCTAGTATAAAATGTACTATTTCCCCTGCATTTCCTATATTTTAATCCATCCACTGGAAAGTTGTGACTGAGAGCAATTGAGATAATTTAGAATTGAATTTGAAGATTAAAGAGGTCTCTTATTTTGCAGTGGTTAAGAATACAGGCTTTGGACTTGGCACACAGAAAGCCCTATATACATATAGCTACCATCATCACTATCATTGTTGTGCTAAGGCATGTTGGGGAAATCAACTGCTAATTAATATATGTGTTCATTGCTTCCTGCAGCCAAGAGAGAATGGATTATAAGGCCCTCAGACTGCATGAAGGCAATTGAGTGAAGTGAATGGAAAAAAAGGAGGGCTCTGAAGGACTCAGTGAAGCCCAGCTTGCTTTTTCATCATATTTATCTGCTGCTGTAAAATAACAGAAGCAGACATACACCAAAACTTGTACCTGTTCGAAACAGTGCTCTTTAAGCGAAGACTTAAGCCTTCCTGCTGCAAATCAAAGACACTCTCTGTAAATATGGAAAATGATCAAAACTGGTGGCCATATTTTTTAGTCATCTATGTATAACTTGCTAGGCAGTAATTTCAGATTTTATTTTTATTTATTTTTCGCATGTGGCTGGCTGGTACAGGGATCCAAAAACATGACCTTGGTGTTACCAGCACCACGCTCTCCCAAGTGAGCTAACTGGCCAGCTTCAGGTTTTATTTTTAAATAAAATACTTTAAAAGTATACATTTCAGGTTTTAGAAGTCTCATGCATTTGTAATATTTATTATTAAATATCTCAAGGTATTAACAGTGAGTGTTAACATGTAGACTACTTGGAACCAGACCTCATAGTTATACCACTCATGTCAGTTGATAAATTTTAATAGGTTTAAGTACAGGCATTCTTTTATAGAAATCCTACTTATTTTGTGAAACCATGACTCTGACCTGATGTTAAATTTCATTAGCCATGCTAAGGAAAATCTGTTTAGTATCAGTATCAAAACTCCATTTCAAAAAGATTGCTTAGCTATATGTATTTTACTATAATTTAAAAGTAAAAAAAAATTTTTTTAAAGATTGTTCAGTAATTGTTTCACATAAAATGCTTTTATTAGCCTTCTGCAGGCTCTGGGTTGGCTTTCTGTACATGTTTCCCAAGTTGATTCAAATATACTATTCTTGGTCTTAATACATTTATGACATCTGATGAAACTGCAGATGAAAAAGAAAAAATATTATGGGAAACGTTGGTCTTTTCTGTTGTCTTGAAGAGTCCCATGAAGTTTGTTACAGGAGGTATTAAAGTCAAAGAATCTCTTGGTTGAATCTTGGGTTTTGATTTTCTTCGGTGCTCTTTCCCTAAAAATTAGAGAGCCACAATTAAATATCTCTTAAGCCTATGAGTCCCAGGTATGGTCTCTCATTACTTTCAGTTCTATATAGTTCTGTTTTCTTTACATAACTAAAACATACTAAGAGAACAGAGCTGTAGCTTTTATACTTTTATACTTTTATACTTTGTCAAAGACCAAAAATTTGTGAGACCAGTATATGGCTTGCCAACTTATTATGTCAAGTTGTCACTAATAAACAAATGCCAGCTACTTTAAACATTATTTTGTAAAACAAAAGTTGTTTTAACACCAAAAGAGAGTGCAAAAGACATTATCTAAGAATAATGAACTTAACTTTGAATGAAATTAATTTTATCATAAACTCACTACATTGTTCTTATTTTTTCTTATTTTACCACAAACCTGTGAACACTTCATCAGACTGTTACTGGTACAAAGATTATTATTTACAAACCAGAATTAAAGTGAAGAAAGAGTGGGATTGGCTTTATTCTTTTGTGTAAAATACTCTTACACTAAAGAATCTATTAAGTTCTTTGCTCTCCTTTTACTGTCTTTCCCTATTCTCTCCCTTTCTGTTTGTGACTCCAGCAAACAGATCATGACTTCTTAATGTTTCTATCCTTGATTTTGACTATAGGACAACATACCAAGGTAAGACTGATTTTGATCCTACGCTAAGAACACATGAACAAGCACTAAGCATATACATGAAAATAGTAAGTAATTTATATCCTCCATTATATACCTAATGGGAAGGGATTAGTAATATAAAATCTAGACTCTGAGCTATGCACACCTAGGCTGCTCAACTGTCATCTACCAACTATGTACAAAACTATATAGAGTATCATTGGAAAAACTGGTCTCTGTGCTAAGAATTTATAGATAGATGAGTTGTACATGAAACATAACAATAGCAAGATTATAATTTAAATCATACATGTTTAAATACTGACTTATTTCTATGCATGGCTTGAGGAAAAACAGTAAGAGGGATCTTTGTCAAGTGATATTAGTAGGGAAGACATTAAAAAATGATTAACGTGCTTGTAAATGGGAAGGTATTTTTAGTATATATGGAATTACAAAAGAAAAGTTTACAAATAAGCTTTTTTTTTTTTGGTACTCTGCATTCAAATTTTTAGAGAACAAACAGAATTATAAAGTTTCAGGGCTAGAAGTTTCCTTAGAAATAAAAGAAAAGTCCATTACCTTTTTTAAACACAGGAATTATGGATGGTCCTCCATTCTTCTCCAGACTAAAAGGAAAACATTTTTATCAAATAAAAAAATGAAGACTTAGTTCACCCATTAAAAAAGTGAAAAAATATATGCAGGTTTATTTCAGGTTCCATGTTCAATGCCTAATGCCCTAATTCCTACATATTACCTGTCCTAACTGAGCATGTTACTTGCAGGTATTTTATATTCAGTCACTCATTTA